CCCCCTTTTTTTTTTTTTTTTTTTTTTCCTGATGCTGGGATTGAATCCAGAGCCTCACATATATGAGGCAAGCACTTTAACACTGAGCTACATCTCAGTCCCTTCCTATACCTTTGTAAACAGCCCCTTTATAAATATCTCCTTGCTTATCTGCTTTGTGATCCCTCATCTGTTTCCTATTGGTTTCTGAGCCATACATATTGAGTCTACATAGAAGTACATTACACCAAGCATTTCTAACCAATGGAAGATTTTTAACAATGCCTAAGAATCTATGAGCATGGGAACTATTGTTTACAATTTGTAATCTGATATTATATCATTGTTGGGTAGTTCCTTTAGAAATGGTTCACCAATTAAATGTACTTTGGGTCCTTCTTGCCTCAAGCAAACAGAGACAAGCCAAAAATTGTCAAGTTTATTTTAAAAGTGCAGGGTGAATGGGTTAAGGGAAAAACTAGCTCTGTATAGTGAACTTGGGCCAAAGAGAGGAAAGGATAAAACCAAAAATAAAAGGACACTCTACATCAGACGCAGAGTAGGCTACCATGAAGAGTCACAAGAGCGGGCTCCCCATGATCTCATCTTTTATACCATTCACATCTCACGAGAGCTCTCAAGAAGTTCCACATATGGGGTCCTGAGAATTGTTTGGTGCTGCCCTGGGATCTTGTAATTAACAGGTCCCTCTTGTTTCCCCAGCAAGCTTTGATATGCCAAGCATCCTATATCAATATGATATGAAAATAAACAAACAAACAAAAAAATAGCCTACCTTATTTTCTCACAGGGATGAGTTAAGGATGTGTCCACTTGATAACAACTTACTTATGGCATAACAAATTATTACTACAGACAGCTAAGTTCAAAATTAATATGCAGGGCCGGGGATTTAGCTTAGTGGTGCTGCCGCCTGCTTTGCAAGCCTCAGGACCCAAGTTCAATCCCAGGTACAAAAACAACAACAAAAAAATTAATATGCAGTCAGAGAGAGATTGGGCCCTCGAGGGTACAAAAAAAATAGATAACAAAATTGCGGCCAGAGGTAAATTTAAGAGAGCCAGGCCTGAGAGCCTCTCTAGAGATTATCAGCAGCTGGAGATTATTTTATAATTAGCACTACCTAGTCCAATGGGTCCAGATAGGCATCAGCCGCTTAGGTGGGTGGCCAGAATCCAAACTCCCCTCTCCCAAAATGCCTTTTGTTCTTTCCATGCACCCTTGCTATGTGACTCATTTCCCTATTGGACCAATATGAGCTAAGCAGCTATACTTGTGATCCTACAGGGTTGGCTGTAGACTGACCTATACTGTATCCACACTGTGACTTTGCTGAATAAATTACCCCTGACAAAGACTCGCAGTGGCCACCCACTCAGAAACCCCCTGGAAACCCAGGAGCTATTCTTCTCTCCTTATTTCCAATAAAACTCTCCTAACTCCCTCCTTTGGCTTGCGTCTTCACTCCTCAATATTGTTAAGGCCACAAACTCAGCCCATTTGACATCTAACAGGTTGGAGCTTATATTTTTTCACATCAGTTGGGACTTATCTGGCTTATCCCCATCCCGTTTGTGTGAATGCATACAAATATACATAAGACATACACTTAATCATTTTAGATATATTTACATTTAGTATGTATTTTGTGTCCATATATATATTACACTATAAATTAATGGCCATTATTTCAGAAAAGCAATTTTGCTTATTATTCTTATATAACCTACCCAGAACAAATGACAATCAAATTTTCTCTATATGGTATCAACTGTAGGAAACAGAGGAGGATTAGAGCTAGAAGAAACTAGTGAAATAAATTCAACACAGAGGGAAGAAAGGAAAAAGGACAAGTTGCTTAGGCACCTAGCCATGATCACAAATCACTTGCCATATTCTAAAAAGTACTTCCATTCCTAATAACCTTGAATTCCAAGATAAGCTAAGATTGGCAGGAATCCTAGAAGCTTTGCCTCCAGAGATAAACTACAAAAACAGGAACATCCTGTTTATCAAAAGACAGGAACATTTTCGTCACCAATTAATAATTAACTGTCTAATCTCAACTTTAAATTCCTATTATTCAATTTGATGAGCCATAACTTCTGAAAGTCTTATTTTCTTGAATTGCTAATAAAAATGTCTATTCCAGGCTGGCCTTGAATTCACAGCAATCCTCCTGCCTCAGCCTCCCAAGTGCCTGGATTACAAGTGTTCGCTATCATGCCCATCTAAATTTTATCATAGGGGTTATACATAGGGGGAAAATATAATTCCTATTATTCAATTTGATGAGCCATAACTTCTGAAAGTCTTATTTTCTTGAATTGCTAATAAAAATGTCTATTCCAGGCTGGCCTTGAATTCACAGCAATCCTCCTGCCTCAGCCTCCCAAGTGCCTGGATTACAAGTGTTCGCTATCATGCCCATCTAAATTTTATCATAGGGGTTATACATAGGGGGAAAATATATATAAAAGGTTTATTTGCTTTATAGTTTGTAGACATTTTAGTCCACAGTTGGCTGGCTCCAAGGTAGGGTGGCATGGCAGAGGAGAAACAGTCTAGCCAAGACAGGAGGTAAAAATGGAGTTATGGTTCAGTACGTCATAGCTGGCCTGAAGAAAAGAAGACTAGGCCTAATCATATTTTAATTGTGTAATGATTTTCCCCCCAAATTACACAGAATGGCTTCTGACAGAAGTCAAGGATTTTACAAAAGGGAGTTTGATACTGTATACCAAAAAAGTACCAATAAACTCAATAAAAAAAAAGGAAGTTTGACATATAATAATCAAATTTCTGTGGCTCACCTATCATTCCAGCAACTCAGGAAGCTGAGATAGGAAGATCAAGTTCCAGGTCAGCCTGAGAAAGTAGAGAGAACAAATTCCAGCATACCTGTAATCCCAGCACTCGGAAAACTGAGACAGGAGGATTGCCTTGAGTTCGAAGACAGCCTAAATTACACAGCAAGACCCTGTCTGAAAAAAACAACAAAAAAATTCCTGGAAGGAGGGTATCTGAAGGGCAGAGGGAAAAAAGAAAGCTAGTTCCTAAGAAATTATAGAGATTAACTTGTTCTAGGAGGCAAAACCCAGCCAATAAAGATAAGACTGGGGGCACTGTAGGGTTCTACAGGGATCAAGATAAGTTCCCTAGAAACCACAAATAGCACCCACTTCTATGACTAAGCCATGCTTGGGGACCATAAGAAATGGGCTTATTAGGTACAAACAGGTAGTAATAAAAGATAAAAATTTAACAACAAAGAAACTCCAAAAAAGATTTTTTTTTTTGGTACTGGGGATTGAACTCTGGTTTTTGTGATTGCAAGGCAGGCAGAGAACCACTGAGCTAAATCCCTGGCCTGAAAAAAAAAATTAATGGGACTAGTATGAAAAGTGTGGTGTGTGTTAATCTGAAAATGGAGTTAATAACTCCCAAGTTTTATAGTCTATAATAAATTATTGTAAGCACCTATTTATCACTAGTGCTGCCAAGAACATAACTCCCTGTTAATGCTGACGAGGACATACCTTGATATCCACCTTCAAGACTCCCCGTCTGCCCAGGGCTTGAACCCATCCTGCAATGTAGCGTACCCTATCTGATGCATTCTGACACATCCCTCGTCTCAGGCCATCAGGTGCCTCACCGAGGGTTGGTGCTGTTGGTGAGCACAGGCATCAGGATCTCTTAACTCTTCCTCTCTGTCTGCCAGTGCCACTGCAACCTGCTTTCTGCCCAGACAGAAAGATGTGGCACACACCTGTAATCCCAGCACTGGGGAGGCTGAGGCAGGAGGATCACTGTGAGTTTGAGACCAGCCTGGACTACATAGTGATTTCTAGGTCAGTCTCAACTACATAGTGAGACCCTGTCCTAAAAAAACAAAAAGATAATATGGCTGACACACAGGAGGGACACCAGTCCAGGATAAGGGTGGCAGTGAGCAGTTTTATTTTTCAGCCCAGCAAATTCCTCCTCGTCCAACCCTGCCCTGAACTGATGCCCAATCCAAGTACACGTCTCCTTTATCTGCTCCTCCTTGGCAGACCCTACCCTGAACTGATGTGTACTCCAAATATGTGTCTCCCTTATTTAGCCGATCTTACCCTAGATTAATGTTTCTTACCCTGAGCTTGAACTTGCTGTAGACCAATCAATAATAATATTATATGTAACAAATACGTAACCAATCAACTGCTTGCTCTGCTCCTGTACAAGTTTCTGCTTGCAAATCTTATATAAACTGTAGATGGACAAAAGACAGCAGCCTGGTTCTCTGAGGAATTATCCCAACCAGGCCCGTCCATGTGAATAGTTTGCTTTCTGCTCCAAGTCCTGGGTGCCTGTCGGTACTTCCCATTTGCCGTTACAAGTAAAACTGATTATTTTGGGGGCAAAAAAAACCCTTAAAAAACAAAATAACAACAAAAACACTCCTACAGACCCTGACACCTGGCTTCTCCAGGCTTGATCTCTCCACGAGTGTACTGATGTTTCATTTTTCGACTTAAAACTATGCTTTCACTTCTGCAAGTCCTGCTCAATTCTTTTTTCGGGATAATAAGAGCCCACGGGAGTCAGAACCCCTGACAACAACCTCGGGGATTTAGGGAGCCTCTTGTCTCAGAATTTCAAAAACATGAATATTTTTCAAAGGGATAGGAATGTAGCTCAGCGGTAGAACGCTTGCACACCGTGTGCAGGTCCTGGGGTCTATCCCCAGAACTGAAGGGAAAAAAATGAAAATAAAAGCAACTTAATCTAGAAGGAGAATGAAAAAGTATTAAAAAGTAGCAAGTACTGGAGAGACCCGCATTCCTGCTGAGGAAGTCGGTCATCCTTCCAGGCCTGACTGGAGGGCGCCTCCTTGCACACAATGAAATTCTCACTGTCTTACCGTGGAGTGTCCTTATCTATAAAATAAGACTGAATGACTGAATAATCACAGGATTATGGGGGGAAAAAAATAAAACCCCGGAGATTCACACAAGCACTAACCGCGCGGGTCACAGGCGCCTCAGTTATGACCAGGAGCGGTGGACTCGGACTCGAGAGAGGCCGCGCAGGCGCAGTGCAGGGACGCGCGCCAGAAGGATGGACTGGTACTCGCGCCTCGCCCGCCCTGGGCCCAGGGCGTCTCTGCATTTTACTACACCCAGCCCTTTCCGCGCAGCCCGCCGTGGCTCCGCCCCAAGGGCGTTCTCTTCCTCCGTAGCCTCTAGCATAGCCAGGATTTACGCGCGGCGCGCGGCTGAGAGTTGGCTGACGGTCCCCTGGGCTAGGCTGCAGGTCCCGGGCCGCTGAAGAGGCTTCCCTGGGCAACGACCGCAATGTGGAGTCCGGGGCGGGTCAGTCGGCTCCTGGATCTGTGAGTACGCCGCGCCCCCTGCTGCTCTCCTTGTGGGTCCCCTGCCCGCTCCCCACCTCGGTCCCGAATCCCGGGCGCATCGTCTGCCCGCGGAGGTTGGTTGTAGAACACAAACGCACTTTGCAGAGGGCTTCTGCAGTTTAAAGTGCAGTTTTCCCGGGAAACAGCTGCTCTCGCCGCTTAGCCGTAGTGCGCTCCACACCCGGGAGCCCGGAAGGGGCCTTCCAATCAGTCAGCACCGCCACGGGTTACTTACTGCCACAATTTCACCCTCCGAATCTGTGCGGGAAATTATGGTTACCATGGCAATCGCTTCATTCCGGGAGCTTTCGGTCAGTCACCGTAGTCTTAAAAAAAAAAAAAAAAAAAAAAAACCCAAAAAAAAAAAAAAAATCCGCACAGATTGAGGCTGAGCAGACCAGTCCCAATTTATGGAAAACCCTCTAAGAGGATAGGTTTTGGCATTGTGTATTAGCATGGCCAGAATTAGTTCTTTTGTTTCCAGATATCCAGGGTGTTTTTTTTTTGGTTTTTGTTTTTAAGAATTTTTTAGTATTCGATCCAGCACGTATTTAAAGAGCACATATCTGGAAGTGAGTCCCTATACTGAAGGTTGTACAAAGTAGCAAGTGTGATGGAGGTGCAACCTTCTAAGATTGTTCTACCGTTATTACAGTTACTTACACGTGTATCCCAATCTTAGAAGGTTGCTAGGAAAGAGGAATTAGCAAGGTATTTTGAGTTTTCTGATGAGGAGAAGAAAATACAAGACTAGGAGAAGGTTGTCTATTGGAAGATTGATAGCACCTGACAATTGCACGTTCAAAGAAACCACCCAAGAGGAAGTTGAATAATAAGATGTGAGAAGACCTGAAGGTGGTATTCCAGTTTGACTGGAGGACACATTAGGAATAAAAGTGTAGTGAAACATGAATCCATGTAATTGATACAGGAGATGAAATATGAAAATACTACACCCCCTACCTGTTAAAGGTCCGGTATGCTGAGTTTGTATTCTCTAAAATCAATGAATTATAGGAACAACAGAGGTAAGAGTAGGAAAATGTTTATTGAGAGGGTAGCTCCTAAGAGGCAGGAGGGCACCCAAACGGGTAGCCAAGGACCCCCACTTTGTTCATTTATTGGTGCTGGGGATAGAACTCCAGTCCTTGAGCTTGGGAGGCAGGCGGCAGAACCACTGAGCTAAATCCCCAACCTGAGGATCCCACTTTAACGTGGAAGTTTTGTAGAGCAGAACCCACATAGGTACAACATATGTTACAGCTGTGATTAACCAATAAGGTTACAAGTGCAGTTGCTTAAATTACAGTGATCCAAGGGGGAGGCAAGTCAAGTAGCAAGTGTGCGTGGAAAGAACAGAGAACTTCTCAGGTAGGTTAATGGGTCTGGGGGTCTCCGTCATCCACTGAGGTGACTGAGGCCGAGCTAGACTTTACTGGACCAGGTGTCATCACTTATTCCATGGAACTATTTAGGCCTGGTCCTTTTGTTGTTATCCTGAGGCTTTGCCTCCAGCTGATGCATCTCTGAGCCCACGTGTATGTGTTTTCACCTTTCCACCTGACTCAAGGGCTCAACCCTGTCTGACTGCCTATTTTAACTCCCACCTAACTTAGCTGTCTATGATATTATTAGAAAAGTAAAGAAGCAGAGCATGGGGTGCACATCTGTGATCCCAGCTAGCTGGGAGGTGAAGGAAGGAGGACTGAAAGTTTGAAGCCAGCCTGGGTAAGTTAGTGAGACCCTGTCTCAAAATAAAAAGGGTGTAACTCAGCACTCCCTGAGTTCAATTACTAGAACCACAGAAAATAAGAATAATTATTTTTATTTTCATGTGAATAGAACTTTAAACCACAGTACTGAGTGAAAAGAGAAAATGAAACCCAAGTCCATAAAATAATCCAAAACTTGGAAGTAAGGCAAAAAAGATGACCAGGTGGCCTACATTGTCACAGTAGCACATCTGTCCCCCCACTAAAGGTCCATATTTGCCCTTAAAACCTTAGTTTTTTACCCTTTGGGGGCAAGTGTAGCCTGAGGCTGGCAGTTGGTCCACAGGCAGCTTCTGGTTTGTAGCAAAGTACAGGTCTTGAGCTAGAGTCATTCTGCAGTGTCTCTGAGTACATTGCTTAGTCCGTCTAGTGTGTCCTCCTCTATGGAGGAAACAGTGCTTGGTGTACATCCTTGCGAGTTGATAGCACTGATCTGAGAGTAGCTTTGAATAGAGGAACCAAGGAAAGAATTAGATCACCCAAGTGTTCAGCTTTGATTGGCTGGGAAGATGATGGCAAACAATTACAGCAGAGGAAGTCTCCTGGGGAAGACAAGTCAGACTATCAGTAGGAATGTCAAGAAGGCAGTGATAATATAATTTCCAATCTGAAAGAAAGATCAGGAGTTGAGGCTAAAATTGGGAGTAAATTTTTCTAAGTGATAAGTGAAGCCATGAGTAAGTTTATGGAGGAGGATGCAGAGCGGAAAAGGCCACAATTTTATATAATACATTAGAGCTGGAAAGATTTTTCTCCAGAAATTATTTCATAGAGCTGATTGGCTAAATACCAGTAAATTGTGTCTTAACCATGAGATTTACAGCAAATCAAATTGCATGGGTGGCTCAGTAATTTTTATATGCCACGTCTGCCAAAAAATGTATACACACTTCAAGAAAAGAAAAACCTTATGTAAATATTTCGGTACTAAATTTACTGAGACGTCATGAGATTAATATGATTAATATGATTAATATGAGATAATTTAGCCTCTACAATTACAAGAAGTGCTTGAAGTGGTGTCCATTAGCTTCCAGGCATTTATTAGTACTGGGAACTGCTGCTCGGGTAGCCTTGGTCTACTGAGATTGCTGCACATGCATTTTCAATTTTTTTTCTAGGCATCGCAGTGTAGTGGGTCTTCTGCAATATATGACATCCCTAGGGTCCACCATACGAAGGTAATACCATCTGTTAAAAAAAAAATAACTATTTTTCTCTTCCTGATGTGTGTATACCTTTTTTGGCAGACTCCTTCTGTATATATTCTCTTATCTAACTTTCCCCTAGAGAGAAATCACCAAAATCCCCATCAAAGCAGTCTCTCTTGCTGTAGTAAATTTAATAAATTGCTTTGTCTGACCAACAGCTTTTTATGATTGTCTTTCTGGACCTGTTTTTTTCGTTTTGTTTTGTTTTGGTTTTGAGATAGGGTCTTGCTATGGTAGTTCAGAGTGGCCTTGAACTGACTTTGTAATCTAGGCTGGTCTTGAACTTCTGGCAATCCTCCTGCCTCAGTTTCCCAAGTGTTAGGATTATAGGTGTGCACCACCATGCCCAGCTTTCTGGGTTATTTAATAGTCATCAGTAGCATTCAGTAAGGCGTGGTGGTACATACTTGTAATCCTAGCACTTGAGACTGATGTGGACTGCATAGTAAAACCCTGTCTCAAACAAACAAAACTTAGCCTCATAGTACTTAAATATTCCATGGCTGGAGGGAACTAGAGCAGAAAGAGGAAACCATTTTTGTAGTTAACAAATGGCATAGCCTGAACAGTCAAGCTCAAAGAAGAAAGCACTAAAAGACCAAGATACAAAGGAATGGGTGGTATTATAGGAAAAAGGAATATTTTTAAATACAGTTGAACTCTGCACAGAGGAAAATATAAGGGGAGTGATGATGAGGCAATGCTTTTAGCCTGGCACTTTCATGAATGCTGGTAGAAGAGCAGAGGCTCCTGGATCAGAGAAGGGCTTTGCTACTAATTTCTCAGCAGAAAGCATGAACATTAGTAGGAGCTTGTTTGTGTCATTTCTCCTGTCTTAGCAAGCCTTGCAGCAGAAGAGAACCCAGACAGATGCCTGCACAACAGGGGTTTGCCTTACAGACAGATGGGGTGGGGGGTTCAAGAAGCAAGTTCTTTGTGCTGGATGGAGACATTTTTCCCCTTAGGGCTTTTTACTATCAATGCACCCCCTGGGAAGTGGGCCAAATAAAGGGCCTTGCCTCCTTGGCATTGCAGGACTGAAAAGTCCACAAAGGACCATTTCCCCACAGTCTGCCTCTTAAGTTCTGGAGTCTCAGTTACTCCTGTTGTTCCTGAGACAAAATAAAGGAGAAAATTTTTATTTCAGCTCACATTTTTGTAAGACCTAGTCTCACTTCCACTCCATGGAGCGTGAACAGCCTAAAAGGCCTCCACAATGCTGGGCCCTAACACCCAGCGAGGCTCCGGGAACAGACGGAGAACCGAGAAACCCAGGAAGGAACACACCAGGCTAGATGGTAAAGAGACCTTTATTAGTCTGGCCAGATGGCACTCCCAGAGCCAGGTGGCTCAGAGATGCAACTGCTCAGGGGCTGAGGTACTTTTTATTAGGTTTTTCTAAACAAAGAGTCAGGGAATTCACAGAACAAGACTGCAAACACATTGCTTATCTTATGCAGGAAATGTTCTACGGTCACCTTTTGTCAAACCATTTGCCCCTGGGTGGGCTGTTAACTGAGGTAGCAATTAGCATATGAAGAAGCACAGTCTGGCCTATTAGCATGGAGTCACTTTAGCCTATTCAAGTCTTACATTTTGTAGAGGTTTTTAGTCCATATTCACCTGGCTCCAAGACAGTGGCACAGCAGAGAAACATCATAGAGGGGAAACAGTTCACTGCGGGCAGTAATCATGCACCCTTAATTGCAGCATCGCACACCCTAGAGCCACCCACCTCCCCAACTCCCCACTATGAGTACTTGAGGCTTTGGGGGGTATGTATGTAAGCCATAAAACCTAGCAATCATCTTGGCTTCTCATATGAGCTGAGTGACACTCCTTTAGCCACGCTTGTTAATTTGACCATCAGACGCTGGGATCAAACATCCAAATAGTTGTATGTGTCACATAGCATCTAACTAAAGCTTTTTTCAGCAGTGCTCCAGGGAGCAGAATGAGACCAAACTGGAGTCTTGACCTCAGCAATACCCTAAGGTTCCAGACTCAACTATCTGTAAATCCAGGAGGAATTGCAGGTCTTGTTTCTGACGGTTTAGATCAATGACGGTGAACCTTTTAAAGCTTTCAGTGATAAACAGCCAGCTGCAGCACACCATAGGCTCAACACATAGATGTACTCTATGTCCAGGATAGTATCCATTTTGACCTACACAAGGAAATTTAAACTTTTCAGCTAATCTTTGGTACCATTGCCAGTAATTACAGGAACAAGTAGATTGAAAACCAGTTTGCTAAGTATGGTGCACACCTATAAAACCAGCATTTGGGAGCCTGTACTTGAAATGCACAGACTGATAAAGGGCAGCATGGAGAGTGCATAGTGAGACTTATCTCAATCCAAATGAAACCCACCTACAAAAAACCAAAACAACCAAACGCAGAAAAACAAAAACAAAAAGCCAAACTCCATCTTAACAAAACCAAAGAGTTTCCCAAATGTAGGGAGAGACACTCATTTACATATCTAAGGTGCTTAATGAATGCCAAGTAAGGTAAACAGGTGCACATACAGAAATTTAAAAATGCTGAAACCAGAGATGAAGAAAACTTGAAAGCACCAATAAAACAAAAGGACACATTTATAAGCAAATTCCAGTAAGATTAACATGAGACTTATCAAATGCTATCCAATGGAAGGGCAGAAAGTAGTGGGATGATATATTGAAAGGCGAGTCCTCAAAGAAAACCACAACCAAGAATACTATAACTAGAAAAGATGGTCTAAAAATTAAGTTGAAATAAAGACATTCCCAGCTAAGCAAATGCCGAGAATCTGTTGCAACCAAAATGGCCTTATGAGAAATTCTAGTGAGCTGGAAATGTAGCTCACTTGGAGAAAACTTACCTAGCATGTATGAGGCCTTGCATTTAATTCTCAGCCTCAGAAAATAGAAATCAAAGGAAGTTCCTCAGGCTGAAGAAGTGACCCTAAAAGCAGTTCAGTGCGTGCTTAAAAAAAAAAGGTAAAGTAGCTGTATAAATACTTTTAAAATGAGTACAACTGTTTCTTCTCAACTAATTTTTTTTGCGGGGGTTGGAGGTATACTGGGGATTAAACTCAGGTCCTTGAGCTTGCAAGGAAGGCGGCAGAACCACTGAGCTAAATTGCTGGTGCTCTTCTCCACTAATTATTAAAGTAGCTGCATAAAGCAGTGTGCTTATAATTTTTAAGCTATAAAAATAGAGTGTTTACCAATAATACTCTTAAGGAGGTATGTGGGAGCAAAGCTACATTGAAGTAAGAAAAAAGCAAGATGCTGCCTCATCCAATGCAACAGATAAACCAGAAGTCAGCAGTAAGAGGTTAATAAAACAAACCATGAATATTTGCTTCTTTTAAACTGTTCTCTCAACTTCTTTAAAGACAAAAAAATTATATGAAATATTGCCAATGGACTTGTTGAGTTTGTATCGTGCACACATGTAATATGTTTATCAATCATAGCCCATAAATGGTGGAAAATGGGATAGAGCTGTATTGAAGTAACATTCCTATATTTCACTAAAGTGAAGTTAATATAAGTCTGAAGTTAGGTAAAATGTATATGATAACCCTAGAGCAATCACTAAGGGAATAAATGTGTAGTAAACATAGTGAATTACATGTGATTAGAAAAATTCACTTAATGCAAAACAAGCAGAAAGAAGGAATCAAGGACCAAAAGGCAGAAAACAGTGGCAGATGTAAATCCATCTGTAACATAAAACAATAAATATGAAATAACTATCAAAAGACAGAGACTGTCACTAGATAGAAGATCCAGCTATGCTGACTAGAAGAGATACACTTTGAATTGAAAGGTTTGTATAGGCTACCAATAGCAAAGGTGGTGAAAACCTATGGTGCAAACAACATTAAGGAAGATAAAATGAATATATGAATGCCAGGCAAAATATACCTTAACACAAAAACTGCAGATAAAAAAAATTTTTCATCAAAATAGTATCAACCATCAGAAAGCCATAACAATTACAAATATATGCACTTAACAACTGCACCAAAATCACAAAGCAAAAACTAATGGAAATGAAAGGAGAAACATAATTCAATAACAGTTGAAAGGTTTGACAACCCTTTTAAAAAACAGGGGGAAAAAACTATACACAAAAAACAATTAAAACGTTTAACCAACATTTAAAACCACTCAGTGTTAGCAGAATATATTTTCTCAAATGCATGTGGAAAATTTTCCAGCATAGACCTTCAAATAAATTAAAATTTATTTCAAGTATATGAAATCTTTTTATCACAATGGAGTATAATTTGGTATCAGTAACATAAATGTGGAAATTAAGTAACAACTTGTTTTTTAAGCAACACTTTTTTTTGGGGGGGGGGTTTGAGACAGGGTCTCACTATGTAGTTGAGACTGTTCTGGAACTCACTATGTAGCCCAGGCTGGTCTGGAACTCCCAGCGATCCTCCTGCCTCAGCCTCCCAAGTGCTCGCATTATAGGCGTGCACCACCACGCTTGGCTAAGCAACACTTTTTTAAATGTGTGTGTGAAATGAGATGGAATCTGTAACCTTACAACTGTCCTATGTCCTCAGGCCTTTTTTAATTTTTCATTTTGAGACAGGTTCTCACCAAGTTGCTGAGTTATCACTAAGAGGCTGAAATGTATGATCCTCCTGCCTTACCCTCCTACAGTACTTGGATTACTTGCAAGTATGTGCCACCGCACCTGGCTGCAGCACACTCTTAGCAATCAGTGGGTCAGAGAACAAAACACGGATATTATAAAATGGTTTTGAGGTCATTTAAAATTAAGATGTATATATAAACTTAAAGGCTATCATTAAAGCACTAGAGCGAAATTTGTGGTTGTACATGTATATTCTAAAAACAGGCTGAGGGAAAAAAACAAAACAAAACAGGCTGAGGCAGGCAGAGTGCAAGTTCCAGGCCTGCCTGGACTATGTATTGAGGGTCTGTCTCAAAAATAAT